TAGCTGCGGCGCTAGGCTTTCATGTGCCTGTCTTACTTCGTAGCCATCATGGTCTTCTCTGTAGAGCCCTGTAATTCCTGCAGCTTCCTGTTTATTCAGTAGCTGGAACTGATACAGCACGGCTGGAGTTTTACTTCAGCAATCGAGCAGAAAGTTATGCTTATGGAGCTCTGTATTTTGAAACTGGAACTGGATAGTGGGTTTTAAATTGTGGGCCGAGTTTACCACATCAGGAGATGAGAAAAGTGTTGTTCAGATACAAAAGTTATGTCAAGCCAAGCTTGCGCCGAATAAGAGCAAGAGAAAACATTAGCAGTGAAGCCTGAAAACCACCTACTGTGTAAACACTATGTAAGCAAACTCATTAACTGTACTAATAAGATGCTCCATATACTTTATGTAAATATGTACAGTGAAAGACAGTGAAAGACAAGGAGAGAGAGAGAGAGATAGAAATGAGTAAGATGTTTAATTAGCTCTTGTGACTGTAGCTCCTGTGACAGGCAGGAAGTCACAAGAAACACAAAGGAAGCCATCGACCGCCCAAGGCCCTTGTGACTTGGAAGACGGCATGTTAGAAGAACAGTGGCAGAGAGTTGGCAGATGGGCTGTGTTTATGTGCAAGAGAATAAAAAACCATCAGTATTCTGGCTAAAGTCTCATTATTGCTACTCACAGACCAGCAGGCAGGTGCTTGCGACAGTAGCAGCGTTATCCTGTCCCACACAGCCCCACTCAATACTCTCAATACGTCTTTCTTTGTGGGAGATGAATCCTAGTACTGCTCATAAAAAGATGATGGTCATCCACCATACTAAACCCGAGAGATACTATAAACAAGCCTATTCCTATGAAGACAAACATCCTACAGAATGGAATGAGGAAGCAACATGGTAATCTTTGTAGTGCTGTCAGCAAATCTTTTAAGTGTGTAGTCTTGAGGGTTAAGACTAAGGTTGCACAATATATCGTCTTGTTAATCATTGACCCTTACAGTTCTGAAACTGCAAATTGCAGAAGCCTGCTATACGCAAATGAGGCTACTAAACAATCACATTTTTTTTAAATGTTCACTACTTAACGGATGTCTCGGTGGGTGTTCAGATGAAGGCATTCATGTTATCTAACAAAAGTAAATTATATTGGTTAAAACAATGCAAATTTTCTAACCACGTCAACCGTTATTGATACACCAATGTGTTTTTAATGGTGATGTCAAGGTAATGCATTAAAGCATGAAATTATTAATGCTACTAATTCTTTTTTAACACATTTTTCTAGGCTGACCCTTCAAACCATCTGTGTTTTCAGCCTGATGCCCAGCTGTTTGTGCACTGTGCACTATGTAACCCTCTTGTTCAAATACAGTGTTTAAATAAGGTCCATTGATGGCTCTCTTGATAAACGTTTCAGCTACAGCAATGCTGTGAATCTGTTTATCACTGAAGTACACAGAGTCTCATTTACAAGTAAAACACACTGCCGATGTCAGCAATATCAGAAATATCAATAACGTTAGCACAGGAGGCCTTCAGCAGATTACCCTGAACAGTGCTTGCTGGAGAACTACAAATAAATCAGCAAGCAGCAAACTAACAAAAGCAACTGCAGAATGGAAAGCTCTAGTTCCCCTCAAAACAAGAAAACATTGCAGAATGAGAGCAAGAGGCTTCCATCATGTAGCCACTGCAATATTTCAAGCCTAACGTAGTAATGAGCACTTCGTCCAAATCATGCAGCCCTAGTTAAAACCAGAAAGGTTCATATATAACAGGGAGGTATGAGTTTAGTGAAGCCTGGTGCTTTGCCTCAGGATGTCCTCCTCAGACTCCAAAGCCCAGAGGTTCTTTCAGAGCAGCCAGACAGGACAGGGTGCCCTTCCTTCTGGGAAAGACAAGAGTTTCTTTATAAGCAAGAGGAGCAAGAATAAAAGGAAAAAGACAAGAGGGTAGAAAGGGACAGTAGAGACAGGCAAAAAGTTAAACGAAATGTTCCCGAAGACATGCAAGTTAAGAATACAGGTTATATGAGAGAGAAGATGTACCTGTTACATAAAATGCGTGGGGTGGGTTTTTGTTTTGTTTTGGAGTCTCTGAGGGCACAAAGGGGGTCATCAGCCATGCTGAGAGCCAACAGGATCAGACACATTCTGCAGGCTCTGAGGGGCTGCCACTGAGGAGCATGCAGCCAGCCATCAACAGTTACAAAACTACACTACATGTCCAAAAATTTGTAGACACCTGCTCAACCAACATTTCTTCTGAAATTAAGGAGATTATTAATAAAAGGAAGTTTGTTCCCCTTTGCTGCTGTAACAGCTGCTTTTCTGGGAAGGTTTCCCAGACCCAGATTAAGCCTAAACCTAGACCGAAAAGTGCTTCCAATGGCTGCAATTTAGTCAAAGACTAGGCCGAATCCGTGTCCTGGAAATTGGCCCTAGATATTGGAACACTGTTGTGAGGATTTGACTTTTGGATTCCTCCACAAAAGCATGAGTGGGGTCAGGTACTGATGCTGAACGATTAGTTCTGGATCAAAAGCGCCAGTCCAACTCATCCCAAAGTTATTCAGTGATGCTCCATTGTTTTATTACTATTCTATTACTATTCTATTATGCAGTTCCACTGCTCCACAGTCTAATGCTGGAGGGCTTTACAGCACTTTAGCCAAGGCTTGGCATTGGGACCTCACACTCATGTGCAGCTTCTCCAGAGCATCCCCTTCTAAAGACAATACTTTTCTATAGAGACTATGCAAGCAGTGTGTATGCAGTTAGTGTCATCAATAGGTGCACATTAAAGCAGTTGAATTTACTATTAGAAAGGGTGTCTAGATTCTTTTGGACATATGTGCTTGGCACATCGAAACTTCCACACATCTATTGGCTAATAAATTTCCAATTTGTTTAACATGATTAATGTGATGTTACAATTCCTTTAAAAATACATGGTTTAATGGCTTAGTGTAAAATTACATAATCATAAGGGTGGCACATCCATAGATCAATACATCTGCTAGCTAAGAAACAATTCTTATTTTAATTCTATCTTGTTCTGACTCCTCTTACGTGACTTATATAAGTAACAAAGACAGCTTGTGAATTTTTCACAGTTTTTATACCACAAACAACACAGCAATACTACAACCATACTCTTAGAAGACAATGTTCCATTAATCAATCAAGTCCATAACTACACGAGACTTCAAAGTGCTACGGATGTTTAATGAAACATCTTAACTGGCCAAGTCAATAAGAGTGCACATATTCATCCATATCAGATGGTCCAGAATCAATGAAGTGGACAGGGCCTGTCAGCTGACACGTATCTATAAGGCTCTCACAAGTCCAAGCTCATCGAACAGGCGGCATCCACGTGCAAAACAGGCATGTGATCAGCAGGCCACTGTCTGAATGCAAGAGACTAAATACCTCCTTGTCTACAGAAGGCTGAAGGCTGCCACACACACACACTTTCCCCCCATATCCCTTTCATAATTGTTTTTCCTTGATCAAACCATTAGCTAAATTAGGCCCCTTCATCATGGCTGGGCCGCGCACAAAAGGCGGATTGTGCAGTCTGTGATGCAGCCCACAAGGCTGAGGTTTCTAAAGAAGTGTTCCCACACTCTGCTCTGCTCTGATTGAGGGGACAGCTGGGACAGGGGTATAGGGCGAGGCAAGAGGCAGGACACAAGGCCGCCATATCCTCGTCACTTGCTCTCATCCGGCGCAGAGGCAACACTGCTGGCTGTCGGGCTTTGGATATAAACCAAAGCACTTCTGACCGCTGGCTGTTTGGGCTTTGAACGAGGAGCAAAGACATGCTCTGCGTCTCTGGTTTCCTTCAGTGAGAGCGGGTAGGGAGAGCCTGTTTACCACATGGAAGGGCCCATCTAGCGGCTTTTCGGCTATTTAAATCCTAAATAGTTGCAGTTAGAGCGCTTCTGAATCCGTGTGAAGGGATTCTGAGGAGTAAGGTGGCATTCACCCTTTCCCTCACTGACTATTCTTCATTAAAATAAGTTTGAACCTTCAGTTGGTGGCTGTTCTCATGCATATTCCCACAGAAAGCCTTTCATTACCCCTCACAGACTCACTTAATGGGGGCATAATAGCTCATTTCCAAATATGTTGCAGGTTCCCATGCATTAACATCCAGCTGAGGACGTTAGCCTTCTGATAACATTACATACAAAAGTCATGGCTGACTTCAGACTGAGAATGTAAACAGTTCAGGAGAAGAGTAGTGAGAGCCTGCATTCCCTCGCATGGATAAGAAAAAAAAGCCAACAGAGGGATTAGATTGTGGGGGGATTAGCCGCCATAGAGAATGAGAAACTCTCTGGCCTGAAGTGGAGCAAAGAGCCTTGAAACAAACCCAAAAGCTGGTCGAAATTGTCTCCCAGTGCACTGTCTACCGTTATCACTCAAAGGTCACGGATTTCCACTAAATCTGCTCACCTCAAGCTTCTGGCCAGCGCTGACTTTGCCAACTATGCAATACTCGCTCGAAACTGGAAAATGCACTATGGCTTGTCATTAATACCCGTGGCCAGCCGACATTTTTGTCACATCCATTACAAACAGCAAACAAAGATTTCTTTGTCATCAAACCGAGCCCTGCTCCTCTCCTCTCAGGGGCTCACCGAGCAGAGCAGCACCATCTCCTCTACAAAACCAACGGCCTCACATGACGAAACTGTCCAAACACACCAACAAAAACGTCTGTTTCTCGAGTAATAAAAGGTTAATTTTGTCCCGTTTCTCTCTGCCTGCCTACTCACACAGTTCCTCTACAAAATGACCTCTCTCTCTCTCTCTCTCTCATTCTCTGTATATCTCTCTCTCTCTCTCTCACTGGAGCACATAACTATTACGCACACAGATTTTCCAGCTCTAGTAAACCGTTTGCTAGTTAAGTAAAAAGAGAACCCGTCTCTGAGAGACACAGCGCGTTTACGTTATTTCTTTAGCTGGTTTTCTTAATTAAAACACGTACATGTCTGCCGCCATCGGTGTTATTCCAAATCCGAGTCTGTAAATCCGTGTGGAGAGGAGAAAATTCAGACGAGGAGCACCAGACAAGTATCTCACGAAGACCTGGAGATCGTGAAGTAACGCTAACGTTACGTGGAAACGTTTCCGCTGCAGAAAGTGAACTGTGCGAATTCCCGCTCCTCAGTCTTCTTCTCCAGAGTCACTTTCCCTGCTGCAGGCGAGGCTCTGGGCTCTTTCCCGTCGGTTAGCTTCTCACGAGGGGTGTGGACAAACCAGCGCACGCACTACTGAAAAGATGTCCATCCCCACCAGCACCACGTCCACTCTCAGCCGGCGAGGTGAGTACGGCTCTCAGACAGAGGGGGAGCCTGAGGAGAGCCGAGCAGAGCTGCTGAAATATCAGCGTCCTCTGTCCTCAGCTCAAAACCCACGAAAAGACGACTAGAGGAAATCTTTCTCTGAGCACATGGCTGGCTGTTCTCCGAGGAGAAGACCCTCACATACGCGCACTAGCGATACCCGACTAGGGAACGAATCGGTTCCTTGGATTCGCTTCTTTTCCACAGAGCTGGCGAACCGATTCACACGTGCACCTGAATCAAACTTTTCTGTAGCATCAGAACACGTTTACGGCAGTGTTAGAGGGTGAGGACTATAAATAAACTTAGAATAGCACTCTTTTACAGTTTAATCCACATCATTAATATATTGTATGACATAATTGTTAATAAAACAGCCTCTTTGAAGTCGCTTAGATCCCCTCTCTGTATACTGACTTCTTTTTTGTTAGGTGTTTGTGCATTGTGATACAAGTGGCGATATGAGATTCGCTGAATAAGGTCAATGTACATGCAGTTGATAAGACTGCAGGTGTGTAGCTCGCAAGCCCTGGAATAAAAATTGATTCGCTGAATCGGACATTCGACTCATCGAAACAGACCACTCGAAAGAATCGTTTCATTGCTCTCGCACGCATTGCACGGCGCTTATAGAGGGGGAGGGGAGAATGGGAGGGTCATTGGAGTCTCGTTTCTCAAGTGAAACCTGGGGGCAGGACCCTGAAAGGAGTTCCCACTTCTTACCAGGATAACTCCTTACGTTTTAAGGAACATGTATATGGAGCTTCTGCTCCCAGACGTCACGTCAAGTGAAATCCGTGCTTAGTGGCGGAGAATGTCACCCAAGTTTAGGTTTGGGTCCCAGCTGAACCATGTGCAATGCATGGTTGAGTTACCTCAAAACATGTTTTAAAGTGATTCCTATCTCCAGTTCTGTGGTCCACCTGCGGAGAGTCAAAGTCTACTTAGATCTGGTGGTCTTAGATCTGTCTGGAGCAGGAAAAACACAAACTGCAGTGCAGTTTGGGCCTCTTGGACAGTGTACAGTACATGTATGCCAGGGAGCCAGTGGACTTGGCCTGCATGGCAGTTGGCAAACAAGGCTAAAATACCAGAAATGTAAGAAGAATGAGAGTATGAGAGGAAGAGGACAAAACTGAAGGTGGACATTGTGTCCCGTCAAAGGCATAATGTCTGGCTTTTCTTAATTCTTGCGGGCAAAGGTTGACCACTACCATGACAACAGCATGCAAAACAATTCATTACATATTTCCACTGAACACACGTGCTGGGGCACCACTGGCAAGGCTGACTTCATACATGGTTGATTTTAACTGTCATCAACAAACTGTCATGTTTCCTGAGTAGCCATCAACAACCTTATTTGTCCAATAAACTAAACAGCCAAGCAGCACATGATCACTAAACTATGGTGAACAGAAAGAGGAATGGAGAGCCAGTCTTGCTGACAAACTCAGTTATACAGAGATACACTTCCTCAGAGACACACACTCACACACAAACATTAACAGAAGCAACAGCTTCAGTCTGACCAGTGTGAAGTGATACTGACGACTCACTTCACTATGATATGTCATAATCCTCTTTCTGCTAAAGCCAACATGCAGGCCACAACCACTGAATGTTGTCATTTTCAAATATATTTAGAAATATACATTATTGTTAATTTGTATTTTTTTGTGCTATTGCATAAATGTTATTTATTTATTCATTACTCAGGATGCAGTATATGGCAATTGTGGGCTGATGTTCAGTACTTTCATGTGCATGTCTGCTGAAGCAGATACATAAACAATTATAAAATGTTGAAATTAGGCTTACAGCTACCTGGATTAGCATTAGAGAGAAATAAGTCTTATTCCTATGTTCCAAATGCAGTAAAATGAATACTATGCAGACATTTTAGCACAGTAGTCCAGCATCAACTGAACATTCTGCTCTTCTGGAGTACTATAAATGCATCATCAAATATCGCTTTGAAATATCAGCCTAATCTACCAATTTGTCTGATTCTGATCATGTTTTAAAAGCAAATATCTACCAATAGCGATGTGACTCGGATTGTGCATGAATGTGCATCCCTGTTTTTTATGCTTTTAAATGAATTATAACTGAAAAATTAGATACTACAAAAAAAAAACTACAGTTTAACAAAATCTTATAAAAAGTGCACATCAGTGTGTAGTTTCATAAAAGTGGTAAAGCTACTGGTTATACGAGGGATCTTATCATTCTCAAATATGTAAATTACAATATTCTATTGAACATTCAGTGCCCTAAACACATGTTCTCTTTCGCTCACGCTTCTTCAAAAAGCCTCCCTCCCATTCATGCCTGCCCAGAAAGACATAAATACCTCACCTCACAAGCCCCGGTCAGCTGTTACTGCGGCAACTTTGCTCCCTGAAGGGCTGCATGATGTCATTTGTTTGGAGGGTCAGTGTGGCTGGCTGGCTGCGTGTGTAAGATAGTGCGACCCTGCTGAGCGCTGGGATCAATAGAACCCCTTCACCCCCGCACACACTCTCATCACCCCCTCCATAGGCGCCCTATTCACAGCCAGCCAGCCATTATTCTCTGGTCTGAATTCTCCTGCTGGCCTCTGTCACGGGAACGCGCCTACACCTCCCTATCACCCGCAGCGGGGCAGCTCTGGCCAGTTCTTCACAGCATGCTCACAGGAGAGCTGAGTGATCATTCTGAGACTATTTACACACGCACACATAGGGATGCATAAACATACAAACGTCCATTCATCACCCACCAAACATACGCAGCTGGCACCTGGACTGTACAATGGCAGTATAAGCCTTAAAGTAAACGTGAATTAGAAATCATTAGGCTTTTTCCTTCTGTATTGTGATGTATTTCAGAGTGAAAGACTTTATCAGGTCACTCTCTCACTGATAGCTGTGGGTGGTGGGAGGAGGAGGTGGTGAAACATGATATTGTTGGTGACATGGTTGAATATTAACATGCATCGTTTTGACCAAAATTATTTACATCTGTCGAATTATACAAATACCATGATTTATCAAAACACCCACAGACACACTAATGTGGAACTGTGATTGGTTAAGATGCTCACAGTGAACAGTAAAAACAATGATTGGTTGCATACTGCAATATCAATATTAAAAAGGCCTGTGCTGACATAATATTTAACAAACAATATATTGTGCAGCTGTAATATTAGGCAGGAGAATCTGTGCGGCTGAGTGGAACAGCCCAGGCAGTTTTCCTCTCCACTGCACCTCCATGTTCAGTGACCTCTGACCCTGGTGCGTCTGACCTGCTTCCCCACACTCCCTCAGGGCATGTCCAGAGGTTAAGAGAGGGGAAGGCTTTCATCAACACTTTATGCTTTTCCTGAGGTCTCTTTCTCTCTCTCTCTCTCTATGGTTCTGTAGTTTTTTCTCTCCAAACAGCCAGCGTTCTGTCTGATGTTGTTCTTGCGCGCTGGATCCCAACCCTCTTCTCCACAGGGAAACATTCTTATATCTTATCTAGCAGCGCTGGGCCAGAACAGGACATAAATACGGGGCTTGATTTGGGGGCGGATGCAAGGGGACATCATCCACCAGTCTAATCTAATCACAATTCTGTTCCGACTCTTTCCAAGTAGGATGTAGGTGTTGCCTGTCCATGCTACTCATAATAAAGGCGCATATATTTTTTTGCCCACGTTGTTCATTTGTTGCTCGTTTGTTTCTGTCCTTTGGCCTATTTTACATATGTAAAGGTGGAAAGATGTTAGTTTCATATTCTGTTATATTATATAACTATATATAAACATTATATTTCTGAACCGTACCGTAAATTTCACATGATCAGATCAAAACTTTGTATATCTATTTTTGAAGTTTTCATTTTTCGACCTAATTTGAATATGCCAGCTGCATTGCATTGTGTAAAAGTTTCAAGATGAAAGGAGCAAGAGAAATTATCCAAAACAGATTGGAATAAAATCTTTTTACAGTTTTACAGTTTCCTTCCACTAAAAAGTTACCATTTTGGAGATATGAGCTTTTTTTCTGACAGCAATGATATACACTTTATAAAGCAAAACAGCATGTTCCAATGTAAGGCTCTGCACACGAATAAACCCTTCCGAAAGCGATTTAAAGCATGATATGAATACTGCATAAATGTATTTAGAAACATTTAAAGTCTTTCTCTCTCTCTCTTTCTCTCACCTGCTATCCTTGGCACATGCCCTGCCCAAGGCTGGCATATGGGAGTAGGAGAGTGGTTGTGGGTGGGTGAGCAGGTTTTGCACATAAGATGTTCATAGATGCAAGATTCAAGGCTTGTTTCCATGCCACAGCAAATGTTCTCTAAATAGATTACATAACTCCACCTAAGCAAGGCAAAGGAAGTGGAAGAACTCCCAAAGTATTTGGTAAGAGCAAGAGAGAGAAAGAGAGAGAGAGAGGGAGAGAGAGAGTGAGAGAGAAAGAGAGAGCAAAAGAGATGGGAGGGGAGGGGAGAAAGAAAGAAGGCAAGAAAGAAGCCACAGTGGTTATGTAAGGTTTCTCGTTTGCTGTGCATTTGCTTTGAGTAGTTTGCCAGCCCCCAGAAGGGCCGCCCCATTTGCCCACCATAATATGAAGATACACATGAACAGACATGCTCACTTACCCACACACGCGTTACATACCACCTGTTAGCCCCATCTGTTCCTCTTGCATTTCACAACACGCATGCATGGAAAACCAGTCTGTCACTGAGACATCCACACACACATCATCATCTTCAACACACAAGCACCTATCACACCACAAACACAAGCTCAGACTTTTGTTGGTGGGGGAAAAATCTCTGTTGGGAAGCATGTGATAAAATCTTCCCCTGGGAGCCATGGGGCTGTGTATGTGGGTCAGAGCTCATTTCCGGCCTAGAGGAGACTGTATATACACTCAGCCCACATGCATGAAGACCAGAAGAGCAAAACATTCAAGAAGCTTCTGGAAACATTCACATTCCAAATGCTTCCCCTCGTCTTTTGTCTGAAGCTGCTGGGAAGTGATGCTTAAAGGGGAATTCCACTGATTTCTCAAAACGTCTGCATAATTCAATTGTTGACATATAAACAAAGTCATTCGGAGTGTTTTGATGTGAAACAGTGCGTTGTAGCAAAATGTGACAACAATGGTGGTGAAAGGAACCAGGAGACGCAAAGTTTACATGTAGCCATTTTATTTACTATCCAAAACCAACAATGAACCTACATGTGTCTTCTGAGTTATTGTATGTTAATAATGGTCACATAGTAGTAAATCTGAAATATACATTTTCTTTAGGGACTGTTTTGCCTCTGTGCCATAAATGGATTTCAAAAAATGTTTTAGGCCAGAAGATTATCTCAAAACTCTTATAAAGAAAGTTCCTATCACCACCAATGTAAACAATTCAGACTCAGCAAGGTTCTCTAGAGCAGTACATTTCTAATCAAACCACTTTGAATGACTCTGTTTACATCTTAACCATTGATTTACACAGGAATTTTGAAAAATCAGTAGGATTCAACTTTCAATTACTCAGCACTACTGCAGTATCTTTCTTCCATCACCA